AGTCCCTTTAAAATCGATAATTCATAGGAGAGAAGTGGATGAATGGAATATGTCCATATGCGATTCTATGTATTTGTGGGCGTGGCTTCCCCCATGCTCCCCTTCCGCCATCCCGATGCCGGCCACCGTATCCCTCCCCTCCCCCTCCCTTCCCCCTCCATCCTATAGCCACTTAGTCATACTCCTCCTCCTCCTCGCGGACCTCCGATTTTTGGCGGCGCTCCCCTACGATTCATCCTTTCTGTGTCTCTCCTATGATCCATCGATCCCCCAAAGACTCCCGATTTTTTGCGGAATCTCTGCTAGCTTGCCCTCTCACCGGGGCCTGAAAAAAAATTCTGGGAATTCAACGGAATTTGCTAATTTTTTGTGTTATTTGCTGATTTTTTTAGGTTTTCTTGCTCCTCTCGACCGTTCTCTTGCTTTACCTCTGTCTTTCTTGCTCCGTATATAACTTTCGGTCTCTCTCGGTCTCGCTCACACCCGCTCTTTCTCTCTCTTACTCTCTCTGAACGCTTTCGAACTGTAGAAAATCTTTGCTAGTATCTGGTTCCATAAATATATATTTACGTTGCTATCGGCCGTTGTTTGGTTCACGCATTAATGGAAGTCGATGATTTAGGTCGATTTTCAGGTGCTTCATCCCTTCCCCTCGCCCTATTCGCGACGAGTTTCTCTGTGGAATCTCTGCTGGGGCCGATGGCGGCTACCGCAACAGCTTCCGCTGCCACCACGGCCCAAGGACAGCCAAGCAGTACGTCATTTGTTGTATATAGTCGTTTGCTGCCTTCTCGGTCCCTTTGATCTTTCCCAAAAATATTCTGATATCTTTCATAACCTATTTTTTGGCCAAAATATAAAACTAGAGAGTTCCGGACATACCAGTAGTGATTATATTGAGGGTTTAATGGCATGGAAGGCAAATATATAGTGCGTTTGCGTTTTAAAGGGCCGTAGAAGGGAGAAAAGGACAAAGTATAGAAGCTGAAATTCCACCACAGGGAGGATTTTGCCTTTAAAGCCCTGTTAACAATAAAGCTTGCAAGTCTGGCGGTGCGCACGCCATACGGCACAGCTTCAAGATGTGTCTTTCTCTCTCTCTCTCTCTCTCTCTCTCTCTCGCTCTTCTAAGGACCTACTTATCGGCTGTGTCTTTCCATTGGCGGCCTATTGCCATCCGTTTTCAAGAGTCCCATTTCGGGAGTCCCAACTCTTCACTCCCCCCACATCGCCAATAGATAACAATGGCAGAAGCGGCTGAGGACCCCGAGAATCAAAGCTAGAACTCCAACCGAAGCGCCCAATTCGGCTTTCTAGGACTTTAAAGGGGTTTGGAAGTCTCCGAATTGACCCAAAGTTTCAGAAAATAGCTCATAACTTTCTAGTTCAATTTACGCCTGGGCTGAATTTTTATAGGTAATTTGAAAAGCCCAAAAGCGAGTCCTACACAAGATTTCTGGCCAAAATATTGTAACTTGAGAAAGTTACAGGTTAAAATGTATAAATTAATGTTATTTTTTTCTTGATTTGAGGCCATAACTTTTTAATATGAGCATATTTTTACCGGAAATTTCTGGAGATGATAGCTTTTGTCTTCTTACACCTACCGGGGAAATTCCAGTCAATACAAAATAGTGAAAATGTCAAATTCGATCACACCTAAATTATTGAAAACATTTTTTTTGTTTTTAAGACGTAACTCTTACAAATTACTATATTTTTGCCTGAAAATATTCGGGCTGATAGCTGCTGCTGTTTTATATCTACAGTAAAAACCTCTAACGAATCAAAAATAATCCAAAAAAGTTACCGTATCTTTTGCAGGCCGAATCCTGCTCGACGTGCCGTGTCGTGTCTGCCATGACCATTCTTCCGGCAAGCATTACGCGGTTTTTGCGTGTGATGGCTGTGCCGGGTTTTTCAAGTATGTAGTCTGTATTTTTGCGTTCATGAATTTGATTTTAGGCGCTCTATCCGACGGCATCGTCAATATGTATGCAAAAATAAGGGGGCCGGGGAGGAGGGGCGGTGTTTGGTCGATAAAACTCATCGCAATCAGTGCAGGTTCGTGGATTTAAGAACTTTCTCGCTTCAGCGCTCCTTCAAAGTCATAATTTTTCTTTTTAATATAATTTTGTACATTAGAAATTATTTTAAAGGGGGTAGAAACGTGAAAATCGAGTGCTCTAACGTAAATTTTGACTTTTTGGGAGACGCTATCGATTTTCGCTTTAATTTTTACGGTATGAAGGCAAATATTGGCTCCAAAACTTTGACTTTGACTTTTTGACTTCACCGGCCTGCGGTAATTTGATATTCAAACCCCCGCTGACCACCCACCACCTTTTCGCATGGAATACCGTACCGTTAAATGCATTTTTCGACCCTATTTCGATGCGTTTTTGTCATTGTCCCGATCGCTATTGACTGGCCATTCCGGGGGACACCCATTGACGCTCGGGCTGGCCATTGGAATGTCGCGGAAAGGGGGGGAGGGGCCATAAAAACTGGCCGATTGACACCTGCTTATGTCCATGATCAGACTGTCAAAAGGGCAACTCCGAATGGGGTACTCATGGATTTGAATTTGCGGTTTTTGGATACCGGCGCCCTAAAAGTTGCCTCGACTACCGTATCCTCGAAAAGAGGCAACCTAGCAGAGACGATTGAAGAGCCCTGTTCTTCTGTCTAAACTCTGCCCAAGCTGCCGTAACCCTGGCAAACCGAGTTATCGCTTCTGGGCTAAAAGTTGCCCCATACCGTACCCTGTATTTCTGGCCAAGTCACCGCCTGGCACCTGTGAACACTCGCAAATCGGGGTCGAGTACGAGGATGGGGGCGGTCAAACGATGACCCGGCTACAGTATCCCATTCAAAAGGCAGATGTACAGAGTATGGAAACGGAACACCCCCCGGTCATTTCCATCCATGCTCTCAGTTCCACTCGAGTGTTTGCTAGATTGCCCCCAATTTTGGAACGGAGAGCGAGAGAGAGAGAGAGAGAGAGAGAGAGAGAGAGAGCGGGGGAGAGCGAGAGGGTGCTCGTAAGCAGGCATTTAAAATTAATTAGAATCTTTGAATGAAAGTATAGGCAAATTAGATCTTGAAAGCTTGGAATTTCGGTATTTTAAAGGAGCATGGAAGCCAAGAATTGCTGGATTTTTTATGGATTTGTGGCTAAAGGGGAATTTCTAAATAACCTTGAGTAAAGCGTCAAAAATCGTCAAAAGTTTGAAATTTCAGCCAACAAAATTAAATTTCGATTTGCAGGGCGTGCCGATTGCGAAGATGCCTCGAGGTGGGGATGAACAAGGAGGCCGTGCAACACGAAAGAGGTCAGGAAAATTGTTAAAACTCCTCATGACCGATTGGTAGTGTCTTTGCTTGCCAGTCTTAGGGTCCGGGTTCAATCCGATGGGGCCCCAAATTTTTGCTTTTTGGCCAAAATATCGATTTCTATTTCAGGACCCAGAAATTCCACTCTACAACGCCGCGCCAATCTCCATCAACAGTTGCATGGGCTTTTTCCGGGATTCAGCCTGGATTCGAAGTCACAGGTGAATTTATAAGCCGACTTGGGCCTCACTGCGGCTTATCTGAAGCTCAGAATCAAGCTTAGGCTTCGGTTCGTTAGGCCAGACGCGCTCTCCCTCCCCTCTACTCTAAAATGTACCCCATCTACCGTACCCCTTGGTGTCTCTGCACTTATTGCCCTCGGCCGTGTTGGCCTTCTCGGAAAATCAAATATTCCGGTCCCTTGCCGGCGTGAGTGTCGGGCCTTATTAATTTCATTCCCACACATCCATCTTCTAGTCGGGGAGAGGGAAGGGAAGGCATACGGTAGCCAAAGGGGGCACATTATAGAATGGCTGGGACTGGAGGAACTGGAAGAGATCAAGATTTAGGGGAGAAAAAAAGATTCTGGAAAATTCCATAACCATCTTTGCTAGTTGGGGGGATCGTAGCTGCGTCACCGCTACGGACTGGTGAGCAGGATTTTTCTCAAATGGTCTCTGCTAGCTGGCCCTTGGCTTGTCGATTCCTAAAAAGATAAATGTGGGCCGAATTTTCCTCAAAAATCTCTGCTAGCTAGCTTCGCGTGGGAAAACATAAATGATCACTGTTGACGAATCCATTTCCATAAGAATCCCTGCTACCTCTCATGATCTGGCTACCGTAACCCAAACCTATACGGCGGTCCCCGTCAATAGGCCAATGTTGACGTAGAATCCGATAGTTTTTGTCTGTGGACGTGACACCCAATTTACCTTTTTGCCTTCGTGTATGTATTTCTCTCTCTCTCATATCGGACTCGAATTATTGTCGGCTTAACTGTTCGGGCAGGGAAGGCACAGAGCCGTTTGGTGGATTATCTAACAGGCGCTGAACGACCCCGTCCAACCGTCAAATGGTATCGCTGTGGAAAAGGTTTACATGAAAATTTATGTAGAAATTGAGAGAAAGCTCAATAATAACTGTCATAATTATAAAATAAATCATGATCTTTTCAAAAAAGGTGAAATATAGGGCGAATTTCAGCTCCTGCCCGACTCCGGCCCGCCGTCTCCAAGGAGTTCGGCCCTGGGCCTCCCCTCTCCGCTTCCACAATCCATTCGACAACCCGAGACATCACTCCCAGAGGCAAGCTAGCAGAGACCATTCAGGAATCCTTGATTTTAGATGGCCGCTCGCGTGTTCTTCCAAATGATTACTTGGACACGGATGCAAATCCCGTTCGTGGCAATGCCAAGGAATGAACAGGTTAGAATCTGGCGGAAAATTTACTTGGATGGATGTTTAAAATATCTTTAAATTTAATTCTATTTTTTTAAGTTAGAAAAAGCTATGTAAAGATATATCTATGACACTCTAAATATAAATTTAGCATTAATTGTTTTCAGACAATCGCCCTACAAGAAGGATGGTGTCCGTTGTTTGTACTTTGTAGCGCCGAGAGTCGTACTGTAACGGCCAGACAAATTAGGGAATGGCCGACGGAAATGGTGGATGAGAGGGACGAGGTGGCCGCACTTTTTGAGAAGGTTAGTTTTGACTTTTTATTGCCGTTAAAATTAGCTAAATAAAATACCTTTAAGTGCGCTTAATTCTCTCTTTCGGTCAGGGCAAGCTAGCAGAGATTTTTTGTCTTTTTGGGGCCATTATCGTCACTTCTTCCAGGTGGAAAGCCTCCGGCTGGACCCTCGTGAAATGATGTTCCTGAAGACGATGGCATTGGCAAAGTGTGAGTTGGAGGGGAGGGGAGACTGGTTCTGGGGAGTGCGACTTAGAATGGATGCCAAAAATAGCGGGAGCTTTATTTGTTTAAGACAAGAAGCCGGCCAGCCAAAAAGCTTCCCGTTTGGGGAGGGGGAGGTCGGAAAGTTCCGGAATTTACTCTGGACGGCCTTCAATTCAGAGACTGGGGGGGGGAGAGAGAGAGAGAGGGCGGGAAAGAGTTAGAGAGCGAGAGAGTGGGACGGAGAGAGTGCGAGTGATAGTAAAAGTGAGAGAGCACGAGAGAGATAGAGAAAGCGAAAGAGAGGCAAAGCAAGCGAGGCGAGACCGAGATAGGGAGACAGAGAGAGAGAGAGAGAGAGAGAGAGAGAGAGAAAGATAGAGAAAGTGAAAGAGAGACGAAGAAAGAGGAGAGAGAGAGGGAGACAGAGAGCTAGATAGATAGATTGAGAGCGCGAGAGCATGAGATACCAGATCTAGAGTGTCACTCTCCCTTTAAACCTTTCATTTGCAGCGCGTGCCGGCCAATTCGAGCAACTCGCCCTCCACCTCGTCGCCTATCACCAAATTGCATATGCTGGACAACCGTTCAGGTCAGTTTTCGAGGAGGGCAAGCTAGCAGTGATTATTTGAGGAGGAATGGGGCAAACTAGCAGCGATTACTTAGGAGGAAAAGAACCTTTGCCATATTTTCAGATTTATGCGTTGTGTCGAGTTGGTCTCGACGACCTGTGAGAATGCAATTGTGGATCTCCTCTTCAGGCCCTCAATCCGAGACGCATCTATGGCCAGGCTCATCGGTGGGTTTTAAAAGGTGTCATTAGCAAAGTAACGTACTACCATATTACGCCAGAGCTGCAGTTAACAAAGTACCGTAATCATTTCCATGTCTAAATCTCGATCTTTTCAGCGGATCTTCTCGTCCCTCCTCCAACCCCCCAACTTGCCATGCCAATCAATCCATTTGCTCTGGCACAACAATTCGCCCTCCATTCCCTCAATCCATTCCAATCAGGTTTGACAGTTCAAGATTATGAGTTTTAAATGGACTTCGAAGCGATGAGAAAAATTGTGATGTCACACCCTCTTTAAATAATTTTTAAACGATTTTTAACGGGAGCATGACACTCGGAGTTTAGCAATTTCCGATAAAACCCTAATTTTTAAAGGGAGCGCGAGTATTTAGCATTTCTCAAAACGATCCAAATCATTTTTTCAGGCGTCCAGTGTCAGCCAGGGTCCTCCACCTCGCCCTCATCGATCTCTGAAGGAGCACCATCTCCCCTTTCCGAACCCCTGAATCTGGCTGAAAATTTGAAGAGAAGAGACCCGAAGATTGAGGTCGATCTTGATGAGGTGAGTTGTTAAACGGTCTCTGGTCTGGTCTCGAGATGTCTCCAACACTGAAAAATTTCCTCATTAATCTCTGCTAGCGTCCTTCTGGCGCCAGTGATCCCTAAGAGTTTCTGCTGGTTTACCCTCAAAAGCAAGAATTCCTCAAGAATCGGTGCTAGCTTGCCTTTTGCCTTAAAACAATCTCTAAAGAAACGCTACTATTCTCCCAAAGAATCCCTGCTAGCCTGCCCTTCCCCAAGAAGTTCCGCTATCCGGTTACGGTATGAAATCCATACTTCAATGTTTCAGGAAGACTCGAAAAATGATGGCGACTTGGAGACGACCGCTGAAGAATAATTCCATAAATTTTTTACTGATTGCCATTCCTAAATGGTGCCCCTATCACTTGAATACCGTAGTCCTCAACGATAGCTCTTTCTTGCCGTATAAAAATTGCCCTTTCTACCGTAATCCACTTGCCAAAATGATCAAATCTATTGTGAACCTGCATATTAGCTTGTGTATTTCAGATTTCTGCCTCTCCCTCTCTCCCCTCTCTCTCTCTCTCTCTCTCTCTCTCTCTCTCTCTCGTTTCTCTACCTGTCTTCAAGCATTCCACAAAATCTGGTCCTCCACGTTGAAAATTTGCATTTTCTGATCCTCGTATTCCCCCTCAAAATTTCGATTAGAATTTTTATATTATTTTTGTGTATGCAAATTAGCATTTTCTGTCTATCTCATTTGAATATATATAAATTTGAATATTTCGCAAATCAACGAACAAAAATTATGGGAATTGCTGGGGTAATACTGTAGGAGGAGCACCGGAAGTTGTTTAGTATTTGCTAGAAAATCTTTGAAGTTCATTTAAAGGCGCCTGGAAGGCAAAAATTAGCATGCTGAGCAGAATTAGCATAAATTCCTGAACGATGATGGGCACAACCGATTGTTTTAGACAATTTTTAGACGGCGCAAAATTCGACTTGGTCCATGGGCGGGGCAAAAAAATCAACGAAATTAGCATAAATTTGAATAATCGGGAATAATGGTCGAATTTTCAGAAATAATACAAATTTAAATAAATTTAATTAGAATATGTCGGTCTCGATCTTGACGGAACTTCTGATGATGGTCGGACGACGACGGTATGGGGCTCGAGGGCTGGAAACGGTCAATTTATGAAAGCAGGCTAGTGGAGATTTTTTAGGAGAAAAAGGCGAGCTAGCAGAGATTCTTTATGGAAACCTGGGGCAAACTAGCAGAGAGTCTTTAAGAAATCTAAAAGCAAGCTGGCAGAAAATCTTTAGGAAATTTAAGAAATCCAGAGGCCAGTTAGCAGCGATTCCTGCAGAAATCCACAGGCAAACCAGCGCAGATTCTTTAGGAAATGGGCAGGCCAGCTAGCCCCAGACCTTTAGGAAAATCAGACGTTAGCATGCAGGGATTCTTTAGGAAACGAAGTCCAGATGCCAGCTAGCAAAGATTCTTTAGTAGATCCACAAACAGGAGTATGTAGCAGGGGCCCTTACGGAATTCTCAAGGCGAGCTAGCCGAGATTCTTTGGGAAATCCAGAGGCAAGATAGCGGAGATTTTTAGGGAATCGATCGACGAGCTAGCAAAGATTCTTAAGGAAATGCAGACGCAAGCTAGCAGAGAGCCTTTAGGAAGAGGCAAGAGGCAGGGCCACCTAGCAGAGATGATTGAGGAAAAGAGTTTGCGTTTGCGGAAACCCACCGTCCCTTGGTCGGATGATTCAAAACTCCAAAAACAGGAGGCGATGACATATCTATCGCATATTCATCCCGAGAAGGAGAGAACGATCTGGAGAATCTAAACCCATTTCCCAATTTCCTCTGCTAGTTACCGTTCATCAGATGAAGATAAATCTTCCGAAGATGCGACTGGAGCAAGAGAGGGGAGCTCGTGGGTCAGCTTGTCCCTAAAAGACAGTTAGAAATTGGGCTGGGTTACGGTACTTTTCAGTGGACAGGAAATCAAGCTGTTCTTCGAAGAGCATTTTGCATTGTTCATGGGAATCGGCTGATGGGCCACGGGTCATGTGTTCCGTGATTTTACGGATGTTTTCTTCGACCTGAAAAAGATTGAATTTTACGCTCTCTCTCTCTCTCTCCCTCTCTAGCGCCAGCTCGTTTTTTGCTGTATGTTCCTGCCACCGTCTCGCGTCAACTGTCGATTTAGGTTTATAGCTCGCTGTCTCTCTCGCTCTCTCTTTCTCTCTGTCTCTTTGTCTCACTCGCTCTTCACTCTCTCTCGCTCTCTCACTCTAACTCTCTCTCCCTCTCTCGCTCTTTCTCTCTCACTCGCTCTCGCTCTCTCACTCTCGCTCTCCCTCTCTCGCTCTCTCTCTCTCGCTCTCTCTCGCTCTTTCTCTCTCATTCGCTCTCGCTCTCTCACTCTTGCTCTCACTCTCTCGCTCTCTCTCTCGCCCTCTCTCTCTCTCCCTCTCTCGCTCTCTCTCTCGCCCTCCCTCTCTCTCTCGCTCTCCCTCTCTCTCTCTCTCTCTCTCTCTCTCTCTCGCTCTCTCTCGCTCTCTCCCATTCTCTCTCTCACCTTCTCCTGTGCGGCTTCCAATTCCACAATATTGATCAGCGTCGCCTTATACTGTCTCAGCTTCTCTTCTATTAATGCTTGGACGCAGACTGCTTGCCTTGAGACCTAAATTACTCTCGATAGTCACTGACTCTCTCTTAATGCCCACATCAACCAATGTATCCTGTGCATGAACAGCATGCTGTCTCCTCATCAAACACGGACCAAAAACGAGCGCCAGATTTGAGGGGCCCATCCGGTTGACTGGTTCCTGGAAAGGGGTACGGTAGCTAGGTTACAATTCAGAATTCTACCTGATGTGCAACTCGAGCCAAATGATACATCAATCGATCGAGAACATTTTTGTTGTGTTTTGGCAGGAGTTCGACCATGACCGAGAGACAGCGCACTCGCTCGGCAACGGCTGTTACTTCTAAAAAACTGGCACTATTCCCTTGAGTTCCATTTTTCATGTCATGCTCCCTTTAAAATATTTTTTAGAGGCCATGCTCCCTTTAAAAAGAAATTTTAGGATGGCGAAATTCTTCAAAAAAGCTTTCTTTTGAAGTCCTGTTCCTTTTAAGGTTATTTCCCATGCGTCAAGTCCCCTTTAAAACATGTTTTGTGCCCCAGTCCCTTTAAAACAACCCAAAAACCCACCAGAAACATTCAGAAAATTTTCGTAGAGATCATAGGTGATGAGGGGATCGGGTAATTCTCGAAAGAACGATTTCACCAAGGCGGAGAGCACATGTACAGGCATATCATCTACCGAAAGTTGATCGGCGTCTACAAGTAAAATTCGGAATTTTTGACCAATTTCTACAGTATACCTGGTGCCGTTTCGATGGCTCTTCGCGACGCTCGAACCTGTGCCATACTGCCGCTTTTCCTGAAAAATACTGGTGTGGAGCGAAAACTTGCTTATACGGACGGCCCTTCAAAGTCGCAAATTCCGATACGCTACCTGTACAGCCCCTCGACGAACAGCGCCCTCAACTCGATCGTCGTCAGCAGTTTGTTCAGAATCGTTGGAAGGCCCTAAAAAAGGAAAAATGAGCTAGCCAGCTAGCAGCGATTATTAGGGAATTCCGGGGTTCCTAGAAATTACCTGCTCATCCTCCGCCAAGGCAGTGAGAGCAGCTCCGAAGAAACGACCGCCACTTGACTGAAAATAGGGATAGAGAGCGAAAGACAGAGAGAGAGAGAGAGAGAGAGAGAGAGCGAGAGAGAGAGAGCGAGAGAGAGAGAGAGCAAGCGAAATACGATTGCGGCGTTTAGCATAAAAATATACCGTCTGTGCCCCGGGTGGCAACATGCAAGGCGCCGTGATTTTTGTGTGACATCGTTTGTGAACCTGCAAAAGTTAGAATTCCGGTAATTTCGAGGTAGCTAGCAGAGATCCTTTGCGGAATTTGGCAATATTCTTCTTACCGATATTCGACAAGTATTACAGATGAATATCTTCTCGGCATGCCACATGAACTCGTTGCAAAGCTCGCAGTACGTCGGAACGTGCACAAAATCGCCGCGGAAGCGGTGACCGGCGTGAATCTAAAGGCGAATAATAATTCTATATCCCACTCTCTCATGCTCTCTCTCTTGCTCATGCTCTATCTTTCACTCATGCTCTCTCGCCTTCTCTTCCTCAGTCTCACTCTCGCTCTGTCTCTCTCGTCTACAAAGCATGAAAGAGGGAGCCAGGGAGATAGCGCGAGCAAACAAGAGAGAGAGAGAGAGAGAGAGAGAGAGAGAGAGCCAAGGAGAGCGAGAAAACATGCGAGAGCCAAAGTGAGCGCTTCTAAAAGACCAGTGAAGTCGCAAAGCAAAATTAAACCCACTTAAAACAAAAAATGTTATTTAAATGCTCACCACAGTAACATCAGAGCGCCGCCGCTTCTTACGGTAGCTCTAGAAATTAATAAAAATCATGACAAAATATATAAATCAAAATATCAGTGCAATTTCACCAAATTGTGCTGAAACCAATTGATAGCGTTTTCTAAATTCTGTCCCAATCACAGTCTACCGTACCCGGATAATGCCGCCCGTTTTCTGCTTATTCTTCTTGAGCTTCGACTGTTGGGCGACGAACTCGTTGAGGAAGCCGCGGAATGCGTTGACGCCGAGTGGGAGGGGGAAGGTGACTTTTTCTTCGCGGCATACCTAGAAATGGGAAAAATTCCTCAAGAATCCCTGCTAGTTGACCCTTTCTGGGCCTGCACGAAAGCCTCAATGGTCTCTGCTAGCCTGCCTGGCACTGTATTCCGAAGGTTCTGGTGCTTTAGCGGGGGGGAGGTATTGGGAGTTTACCCGCGATATCCCACTTCCCCCCCGTTAATGGACCAGAACCATTCCGAGCTTACAAAATCGTCTGAAATGGTCTCTGCTAGTTTGCCTTGCGTCTTTGAGGCTTGAATTCCTCAATGGTCTCTACTAGCCTTCCCTTGACGCGCTGGTTTCAAAAATGTTCTCTGCTAGCTGGCCCATAGCCGTCCCAGAGCCAATTTTCGTGATAAATTCTTGCTAGTTGACCTCCTGCTGGGTCTGCAAGGATCCTCAATTGTCTCTGCCAGCCTGGCTCCATCTTCCTCAGAAATTCTGGTGCATTGCCCTATGTTTCCTCCAAAATCGCGGCTAGACGGTCTCCCTAAGGATCCTCTGCTAGCCTGCCTTGCGTATCTTCAAATAATTAGCCTTAATTTCCACAATAAACTCTGCTGGGCTGTCAAAAATTTTTGGTTCGCAAGTATAAAACTCAAGCTCAAGCTCAATCTCAAGAAATACTCTTGTCCGCTATGACATATGTTCATCCTCAAGCATCTCTGCAAGCCTGCCCAAATTCCTGAAATATCTCTGCAAGTTACCTTTGTCAACAGCCCTTCAAAAGTGGTGATCAGATCCTTATACCGTAACACGGTTCCCTCTTCTGTCAATATCGCCTCATATCCGATCAATTCCATGTGGAATTCACGCATCGACTTTTTGAACAACGAATCCACGATTGTATCTCGCTTCTTTTTGTCCTGAAAAAAAGATTTTTTGGAATTTTAGGCGCGAAAAGGACTGACCTGGTCCAAGTTGTTGAGCTTCTTGAACATGAACACCGAGAATAGGCGCAAATCTTCTACCGATTCGACCACCATACTCAGCGGGTCCGTCTAAATTGAAAGATTTTGATCTTAAAGGGATTGGCAAGACAAGGAACGTTGCCATAGATTCGGCTTTGATTACGTAATCGATTACGGCATGATAATTAAGGCAATTGAACCTAAAGGAACAGGCAAGGCATTGCTATGAATTTTCTTGACTTGTCAATACCTTTAAAGGCCCATTGAAGACCAAAACCCTCTAAAAACCGACCTGCTCCTTCGTCCTGAACAGGTTGAACTTGGTGTGCTGTTGACCGGACGGGGGTAGGGTTGGGGATTGACGGACTGGGGGAGGAAGGTGATTTCTAGACGAGCAACAGTTTTTATAAATTGACCCGTCTACCGTATCTCCCATGGTCTCCTCGGGGGTTCGAGACGGGTTGGAGAACGAAGTGGAGAAGTGGGTGAGCATGGCATTGAGGGGGCAAAGGCTGAGCATTCTTTGTGGAATGTCATCTTGCAACCTGGAAATTGGAGTTGGTAGGCTGGCAGGGATCCTTTCGGAACGGATGGGCGGCTAGCCGGGAACCATTGGGAATTGATGGCAGAGCAGACTAGCAGAGGCTCTTTGGGAACCAATGCGAACGAGCATAGATCCTTCCGGACGGGCAGGCTAGCGGAGATACTTTAGGATGTGAGTGCAGGCTGGCAGAGAACGTTTAGGAGGGGCAAACTAGCAGGGGTCATTTAGGAATTCGATGCGGGCTAGCAGAGATTCTTTGGAACGGGATGGAAGGCAGGCTAGCAGCGACCATTCCGGAAAGGTAGTCCAGCAGACGTACTTTGGGGAATGGGAGGCTAGCGGAGATCATTTGGGCAGGGCAGGCTAGCAGAGATCATCAAGGATTTCTGGTGAATACTCACGTGAACATTTATGAGCTTGAACCAGCAGCCCTCCGACCACTTTTCCACAAATGGCACACGGCTCCGCTTTTCTCAACCGCTGCACCTTCAAGCAATGAGGCTCCGGACCGGTTAGCGTACTGGAATTCAAGGTGTCGAGATAGTAAGATCTGACGATACCTGGTGGATGGATGGTCTTCCTCCCCATCAGAAGCTGCTCCACTATCACTCCTCCTCCCAAATAACCCTCCAACAACTTCCTTCAAATTCTTCTTCGCCTTCTGGAACCCAATCTTCCCGCCGAGGGCTTTCTTTTTGCCGATGGCCGAGGAGAGCTCAAAATAGGATGGGTAAGCAAAATAAATAGTTATAGAACTTTTTCGAACTCAGTATTTTAGAACCCAATCATGATTTTGCAAAAAATTATTTTCTGTCAAAATCCAGCCAATAGCTCAGTGGATAGCGATCGGGATGTCAAGCCAGGGGTCGAAGGTTCGGCCCCCGCCCACAGCAGACTTTTTGCTTTTTGCCTACAGGGGCTGGGCAAGCCCACCTGTCGATCTGGGGTGACGATTAAACCGAGAAACCGGTTACGACAGGTTTTCTACCGGTGCACGTTTTCTACGGCACGTTTTCTACCGGTTTTCATTTCCGTTTTTTCAGGTTTGTAGGTCGTTTTTCGTAAGTTTTAAATTTTATGGCACATTTCATCGTTTTTGCCAAGGTTTGATTCATAAATGTTCGAATTCTAACTTCAAAACCCCTTTAAAACCGACCTCATCCAAAGTTCGCAATGTCTCGCCCTTCCTCGCAATCTGATCACTCTCCGTACTCGCCGCCCTTCGAAGCATCTTTAGCTTTGACGTCGACGCCGTGGCAGCAAGACTTTGCCGCCGGTGGAACGCGTTCTCCGGTCCTTCCCTAAAAATTCTAGTTTTGAAAATCTATTTTCCTACTCTATCAATTTCAGCTTGGTGTCCTCGAGCGTAAACTCGACGTCCAGATCCACGTTGTCGTCCCTGCAAAAATGCTTTTAGGTTGTTTTAATTTTTAAAGGACTTTGGAAGACCGAATCACGAGCCAAGAACTTGTCCTACATATTCTTGTTCATTTCTGCTCATTTAACAGGGATCAAACGATGAATAAACGTACGGAAAAGTGCCAAAAACGTCTCCCTCCGACGGTGTCAAATCGAGACCGTCATCCGATTCGTCTTCCGATGAGCATTCATCAGAAGATGTTGCAAACTGGAATCGTCATTTTTAGATATTTTAGGAAAATTATTTTGCGAATTTATATTAAAGGGGAAGCGTCATTACTAATTAAGAGTCGGTTGGTGGCTTTCGAATTTTGTTTCACTTACCTCAGCCAATGAAGCCGGGTTTGTCAAGTCGAATTTCGGCAGTTGGAATGTGTGGATTTTGGTGATGTGGAAACGGTTGAAGCCTTTTCGGGGAATATCGCCGATTCTAAAAGGAACGGATATACGATTACGCCAGCAAATAGGGACGTTTTTGTGGCTTGAAAAAGATTACGGCATGGAATTGTTTTTCTCTAGTTCTGGTATGACATAAAATTGGCTTTTTAAACGCCCGGATAATCGATGTCCGCTGATTTGCAAGCTATTACGACATGAAATTCGGACCCAGGTCGATCCGATTACCCTATGAAAATCCGAAATTCTACCTCTTTCTGGTCTCCGCTCCTCTATATGCCGCTTGCAGTGCGATGATCGTCGTTCGGAGCTGCTTATAGCGCATCTCGTCGCGATAACTGAAAAAAAACGGAGTTTAAAGGGTCTTTGAAGACACTTTTTCACTGTGTTGACAGGCTATTAACCTGCTAGGTATCAACTCGAGGGTTTCTTTATGATTTATAGCAGGTTTGAACCGACTAACCGTCTCCAATTCGTCTGTATCACCATGGCAGCATAGCTCTGCTGTCGTAGCTTATTTCTGAGTTGCATCCCGCGGAACATCGCTTGGATACGAACCACACCGGCGCGAAGACGTAGATACTTCTTACGAGCGAGGACCGTGCGGAACCAACTAAAAAAAATGGTCTTCTCTACAAATTTAACAACTAGTTTTACCGTTGCAGCGTGACGATATGATGCATAATTGTTCTATGCAGAAACTCGTCCAAAATCAATTTCTCCGCATCTCGCATGAATACCTTTAAAAATTTGATTTTAGGCGATTTTCACGTGTTTCTTACCTTCGTGAGTCCATACTGTACATTTTCTTCTTGAATTTGTGGATGATTTCTGATGAAAGTTTGAACATCTTCAACACGACTATCCAGGCCACCGGGTAGTAAAATACGATATTGGTTGATGAATGCCTAAAAAGGTGGTAATTTCCTTGAAGAATCACTGCTCGTTTGCCATGCCTTGCTCCCCAATATCTCACCTCGTACTCAATCCTGACGCTGTATCCGGCCCTTCTGATCCTGACCGTCTCCAACATTCCCGTGTATCTCAGTTGTCGCAAGATAATATCCTCATCAAAGTGGTTGGCTATCTGAAAATCGTAGTTTCGCTGATACCCACGCATTAATAATGATATACCTTTTCGTTGTTGCTCTTAATACATCGGATGAAATATGGGGTGGCCGAGCTGAGGGTTGACATTAGACTGAAAATTAGATGGATTAGATTGGCTTGGCTTTGACTTGGCTTAGCTTAAGTTCAGGCTCAAAAGATACCGTATCAAGCTGTATTCAAATTGGCGCGAAACAGATGTCGGTTTTTGTGAGGTGACCCCGCGCTTTCGACCCATCGCATCGCGGAGAATCGGAAAAATCAGACAGTTCTCTTTATCGCTCTCACTCTTTCTCTCTCTCTCTCTCTCTCTCTCTCGCTCTCTCACTCTCTCTCTCTCGCCTACCGCCTACCTGTAGGCTTTTAAGCGTAGACAGTCTTTCTTTTTGCGGCCGAAGCATACTTCTTCTAGCTTGCGACGTGATCGTGCCAAAGACGGACGTATCGCAGAAGTCGGGGATTGAGAGTCTAAAAGCGGACCATAGCAAGCGAGCGAACCGGCAGAGAGTTCATTGTGGAAATCTGTCCGAATCCCAGTAAAACACTCCTCTTACCGTAACTCTCCACGCAAAAATGCGGACAATTGTGAATCGCTGCTCCTCCTCCCTCTAGCCACTCCCTCGTCCTGTACGCCGAGATGGCCTGCACTTTCTGAAAACAGCCAATTTTCAGCCGTCACCGTCTCTTTAAATACCGCTTCTCTGGATTGTACGGGCCGCTTGTTTGAAGGCTTGAAGAGCACGGAAAACGGAACGTACGAGGGTCCATCTGAAATGGAAAAAATGGGAAAATGGTATTACGGTAGGTAGACGTACAGGGTGTGCAAAAAAAAAAGCCCACAGTTTGGGTCGAAATAACTCGCGAACGGTAGAGAATCGAAGGTACGTTACCATGCCAGAATGCTTAAATATGCTGGGCATGAAGATTTAACACAACTTGATTTTTTCGATTTTTGGCGACGTATCAATACAAATGACACCCGGAAAATGTGCGTTCGGGGAAACTTCATTTGTATTTTTCTCAGTTTCCTGTGGTAGCTGGCATCTAATTTTTTATTAAATAAGTTAATATAGGCAGCAGATATGTAACTACGAAATTTAAGAATTTTTGAGGGTCTGGTTGAGTAGTTAGAAAGGACACAGGCTTGACACAATCGCATAAACATATTAAAGAATTTTTTGAGATCGATGAATTTTTGAGTTTTTCAACGACCCCCCGGTCATGGATTTTTCGAGGTCACGAAATCGAACTTTGGAAAAATATTTTTAAATTGCCAAAGGGGACTCAACAATTTTCTTTGCTTAACTATGTAGTACTGGTGTTTATCTATCATCTACAAAATTTCTAGCTACCGTACCCCTTTGGAAGGGCGACTTTTAGGGCCTCCAAAACGGTTGGTTCGTGCTTTTTTCCGAATCTTGCCACCATTTTATAAAATTTAGTCGCGCTGTGAAAATTATCGTTTTATTTTTATCTGATACTAGTTATATAGCGCATCCTAAAGCCTCATTCATGAATTTTTTTAACCAGCCGTTGGCGCCAAGAAAATTCATCAAAACCCGAAATAAACCGATTTGGAGGTTGCGTAAAAAAATTTTTGAAAGTGGAGCCGTAGGGATATTTTCAGCAATAAGTCAGTGCCATTAGGTGAATCAAACTATGCATAGATTAAAGCAATTTGGCGTCGCAAAAAATTTAAGAAGATTTCTAAACTTCGATTTTGGAATAGGGTGATTTTCGATTTTGAGCTGAAAGTCACCATAATTTTTAATCAGATTGCCCCCAATTTTTACGGGCGTAGATAATAACATCAAAGCTATAATCGCATCCATAAGACCCAGCTGGTTTTTATATTTTTAAAAACTCGAAAATTGACCCCGGCGACTCGGACCAAAAATCGGCTCTCTGGCCTATTTTGCACTTTGCCTCGTAACTTTGTTATTTACCATCCAAAATCAGTCATTTTTGACAGGCTGTCTTACAATCACCTCTAGAAGGCTCTCGAATAGAAAAATCGTCGCTTTATGGAATTTTGTGATGGCATGCTAAAACGCGCTCCACGGGGGTTACTGTAGAAAACCGAAATTTGCGATTTTCGTGGGGTTTTTGCCATGGAATCGCTTCAATCTTTTTGTAAAACTAATGGTAGCACTTTATGGACCATCTGACCAAAAAATTTAAAAGATTCTGTGGCAGAATTAAAAAATCAGTTTTTAATCTTTTTTGATGAAAGTTTGTGGATAGTATGCTCTCGTATCTGGCAGTAAGGTGCCCCTACTTATTGCCTAACAACCTAGAAAATTTCAGCCGGATCGAAGCTAGGGGCCCCGAGAAAAGCGGGAAAAACGAAACCTACAGTACCCCCGCTGGGGCACGTTTTAGCAAGCAATACAAAAATACCATAGATTGTGGTGGGATATGGTGTGGGATCCGAGATTAATATTTGGATAAGCCATTGGCGAAAAACCAGCCATAGGCAGTCAGTTATAAGCGAGTTATGACACAGAGAACAAAAATAACGCAAAATCGCGAAAATTGGTTTGCTTTTAAAAAATGAAATTGACCTCGATAAATTCTAAGATTTTGTCATTACATTGCTACTAATTTATACTATTTTTAGGCTAAAAATCCGAATTTTCCCACCTCCCGTTCTAGAACGCACAATTTTCGGTCGTAACCAGCGTCAATAGTACAGTTGCGTACTCAAAAATCGAAAAAATCAAGTTGTGTTAAATCTTCATACCCAGCATATTTAAGCATTCTGGCATGGTAACGTACCTTCAATTCTCTACCGTTCGTGAGTTATTTCGACCCAAACTGTGGGCTTTTTTTTTTGCACACCCTGTAAATTGAAAATGATGCTTCCAGGTTAACGGGGGGCGGTTATTTTAGCGGAGGGGGGGGCGGATGCAACCTTTTCTTTATTTAGCCTAGATCCGCCTAGGGATAAATTGTAGTTTAGTTTAATCATGTTTTTGGTAGTTTCCGAAAACCAAAAATTATACAAGCATTTATTCTAGAGTCACAAAACATAGGGTTTTTGGTCCTTTTTAACCATTTTCATACACGCCCGATAACCTGGAAGCACCATTTTCAATTTACGTTTGCAATTTAGCTACAAAAGGTAAAATTGGACTACGGTAGGTCGGCGCAAGATTTAAAAATGCGTTTTTGATAGCCCGGAAAAACAAAATACTAGAAATTTGAATTACGGCAATTGCAAATTTTAAAATTCGAGAGTACCTGGAATACGGTAAGCCCCAAGGATTTTTAAAAAATCAAAGTACGATAGCTGAAAGCTAAACAAAAACCATGAAATTAAACTTGAATTCAATCCATTCAAGATTACGGTAGAGCACGCTACACTCCACCGAGTATGCGACGCACCTATACAACGGCCACCGGATCGGAGCCGACCAACTCGCGTACGACGCCATATTTCGAATTTTTCAGCGTCACCAACACGTCGTGGCGCATCAAATCTTTGTTCTTTTCCCGGAAGCCCTAGGAAAAATAAAATTATTATGAAGAAAAACAGGATTTTTGTCCTCAGATGCCTTTAAATTGAAAACACGCTGCACCTACCGTAATCTGGTACTTGACTTTGCCGGCATAGTGGGCCACGATGAAGGCCTTCTCACGTTTTTGGGGCATCTCGTAAAATTCGTTGTTCTGAAAAAGGAGGGGTTACTGTTTTTGCTTCTCTCTCTCGCTCTCTGTGTCTCTCTCCTCTCTCTCTCTCTTTCTCTCTCACCTTCAAGAATTGATTCAGCTTGTCAAGCATGGATTGATCGGTCCCGTTGTGAATATTTGATTCCTCATCGATTAATCGCAAAATACCATACGGTTTTGCCTAAAAAAAAATGTAAATTTCGATTCAAAAAAGTTTTTTTATGAAATGGAAGCATGGATATCATCAAATATCATAATTAATAACCTGGAATAAATGGAGGCATTCCGTGTTGTCGGTATATTCAATATTCGTCCAGCTGATGCCTTCTTTTAGGTATTCTTCCTGAAGAAATAAGCATATTTCTCTCTCTCCCGTGTCTCTCTCGCTCTCCAGCTCTCTCTCTCTCTCTCTTGCTCTGTCTCTCGCTCTGTTTCTCTTCCCTCTCTCTCACTCTCACTCTTATTCTCATGCTCACTCTTACTCTCACCCTCTCTCTCACCCTCACCCTCACTCTCATGCTGATTCTCTCTCACCTGCTCAAATTGAAAGATATGCTGATTAAAGTAGGCCTGCAGATGCTCATTTGCATAATTAATACAAAGTTGCTCGTAGGAATTCTTTTGCCCTCCAACGTCTTCAAACCCGAATATGTCCAGGATTCCTGAAATACAAAAAATATAAACTACAACCCTGCTTTAATTTAAAACTTTTAGGGTCTCGAATTTAAGTTCGGATACTAAAATAATTTTAAAACCAAATTTTTGTTGAATTTAATTTTTCGAGAAGGTGATTTATATTTTCTAAAATTTAAATTAATCTTACTTATATGCTAAAAACTTGAAACTACAAACCGATATAGTATCCATTCGTTGGTGACTGGGCCCTGAGAAGTTGTTGATTGATGCGGAGGACGATCCAGTGGAAAAGGGCATTGTATAGACATTTGGCCATGGCATCTCGCGTATTTGTAGCCTAAAATATTTACTTTACTTTATAAACAACTTTAATCCTACCTCCGATACACTATACCTCGAGATTACGGTATCATTCTTCGTGATCGTGCGCTTCATAGTAAGGGCCTGGAAAAAGGCTATAAATGCGTGAAAATAAGCAAAGATCGGTTGTTTGCTACCCAAAGACACCTTTAAAAACGTATTTCCTAGATTCTAGCTAGAAATGCGCGAAAAGGATTGAACCAGGGCCCTGAGATCGACAGGCAGACACACTACCAATTAGCCAAAAGGGTGACCGACCTGGGAAAGATGATCGGCTCTGATATTCAGCAGCTTCGCCACCAACCCCACCACCTCCTCATTTTCGATATAGGCCGCCTCGTCGCTGTGGTAGCCTTGGCGCTGAAATTTGCATAAATCTGCGTAAAATTCGTAAACTATTTAAAACATTTAATTACTACAATTTTATGTCATATAATTACGTATACCTTTATGAAATGTGTTAATTTCAATAAATAAATAAAACTAATAAGAATATATCAAAAATATAACAGACACATACCTTAATATATTTAATATTTCCCAGCAGGAGCACAGCAGATATAATAGCCTGTAGGGTGTGTTGCGTAGTGGGTGGGAAGCCGACGGCCAGCATCGCCTAAAAATATAGCGCCATGTCCCTTTAAAAATAGTTTTTCTCTGTCTCTCTCTCTCTCTCTCTCTCTCTCTTTTACCTGTTTCAACCTGCCCCATTCATACTTCTCATTCACACCCTCCGTCGGCTCGTAGGCGTTCTAAAAAGCCCATAAAAAATATAAAATCAGCAACCTGGTTCAAATAATTATAGTCATCCGGTTTCATAAGGAAGAATTCCTTCCTTTCCTCTTCTGTGGCCCCCTCCAATAGATAGTAGAACACGTGGTAGTTCCTTTAAAGGACCGTGAATCCAGGGATGCTATGGATTTCCAGGATTTGCATAACCTACCTCTCGCCTACGGCCTGGGAGATGATGCGCGACTTTTCGAGCAGGTAGATTTCCACGTTGGCGCTGGAAAGGTTGGAAATTTTGAGAGAGAGAGCGAGTGAGAGCGAGAGAGAGCCAGAGAGAGCCAGAGAGAGCGAGAGAGAAGGAGAGAGAGAGCTACAAACTAAAAACCTACCCAGAAACCATGCCATTTTCTCGGTAATTGACCTTGATGAACTTGCCGAACCGCGAGCTGTTGTTGTTCTGCGCCGTCACCGCGTTGCCGAAAGCCTAGAAAAAGAAGATTTTAAGGTTTAATGCGACGCGGAGGGCATATTTATAGATTTTGCTCTATCTGGATTAGAGTGGAGGAGAGAGAGCGAGAGAGAGAGAGAGAGAGAGAGAGAGAGAGAGAGAGAGAGAAAGAGAGCGATGAGATACCTCAAGTACAGGCCCAGCCGATAGTAACGTTTGCTCCACCGAACACCCCGTGGATCCTTTTTGTGACAATGTGGTGAGATGATGTAGCAAAAAATTCGTCGACTCAGTTTTTCCTAAAAAACGCGATAAACCGTTACAGTGGCAAAAATTATCGTACCTGATCCACTTTCTCCTGAAATCACGACACATTGGTTCTCCTTGATTCGAAGCATACTAAAAACAGCTCTAGAGTTTTTGATAGAGGCCAGCTAGCAGAAATTCTTGAGGAAATTCAGAATGCATGCTAGCAGAGATCCTTTAGGAAATAATTAACGCCCATTCATCGCCTACTTATGATAGGTGACATCCGCAATGGCAAAGATGTGAGGAGGCAGAGATCCGAGAGCCGATGAACAGTACAATCTCGCGTATTTCGGGTTGTAAATCGGGAAAAAGCTACAAAACGAATTTACGCAATTTTTAATGGATAGCGTACCTGAACGGGTTGACGGCCACTAAAATTGGACCAATGTAAGTGTAGATGTGGCCGCTGTTGAATCTGAAAGAAAGGAATTTGCATATATCTTTTCTCCTGTCTCTCTCTATCTCGCTTCTTTCTCTCTCGCTCTCTCTCTCTCTTCTACCTGTCCCTCAAATTATCCAGCAGCGTCTGTTCCGTCAACTCCGGCAAATTGCACAAATCCGCGTATTCTCGATCCTAAAAAAGATTGCTAAGATATTTTCGTAAAAAACTGTGCTTGTTGCCCTCCGATTTTCCTAACAAGGAGACATTTTTTGGTGTGAATGGAGTTTTGGGACAAAACAGGCCTATTTTGTGCAGAATTTTGCGCTGATTCCGAAACTCTTTTCCATTTCTGCTAAATAGCTCGATTTAAAAAGTTACAGCAATTTAAGGTCATTTTTTAGGCCCAGATCAGCCATATGCCATGATGTGCTACTTTTTTGTTTTCATGTTCCAATTTATTTTAAGTAGCCTATCTTGTAGAGAATTTTTTTCTGATTCGAATGGTATATTTGGTTAGTGCGCAACTGCCGATCGACGATGGCTTACAGGGGTGAGAAATAGGCTGTTTTTCACCATTTCCCATACAAAAAACGGAGCCCATACCAAGTATCGTCAAATTTTTAATTTTTTGACAATTTTGAGTTAAGGGGCTTATTTGATAGAGAAAAAATTTCTGAATACGATGACGAAACTTGTTTTTGGAAAATCAGCCGGGAAAAGCAACATAATGGGCCTTAAAGATGGGAAAATTCAGGCTAAAATGTTCTTAAAATTGCAGTAACTTTTGAAATCGAGCTATTTAGCAGAAATGGAAAACGGTTTCGGAATCAGCGCAAAATTCTGCACAAAATAAGCCTGGTTTCAACTGAAAACTCCATTCACACTAAAAAACGTCTCCTTGTAAGGAATCTCTGCTAGCTTTCTTACGAGAATTCTCAAAGGATCTCTGCTAGCTGCCTCCGTTTTTCCAAAAGGATATTTTCTTGCTTGCCCCAAATTCCCAAATAATCTCTGCTAGCCTACCCTCCCCTTTCCTCAAAGTTTCTCTTCTAGTTAGCCCACCTGTGGTTGCGTCAAAAATTTCGCCAAAAAAGCATCAATCGCCGAGGCAGCTTCAGCCGATCCGAAACGAGACACAGAACGGACTCCCTTATGCCTAAATCGGGTTCTATTCCTAAATCGAGCTCCATCTACCGTAACACAAATCGATGCTTTGGCGCCTGAGCATCAGAAAGTGCTCGTCCTCCCCATAGCGATTGCACGGCCACCGGGTATTCTCCAGCATCCAGTTTTCGCTCCTAAAAATATACAAATTTCAAGATTAATTGTAGATTATTTAAAATTACTAGAAATGGAATATAAATATAATAAAAATTAACAAATAAAAATAATAAGACACTATCTTGAAACTATCGAAAATTGGGCTAAAAATACCTTAAAAGTATGGCCATCCGGAGTGCCCATCACCTCGACCAGCTCCATCTCGTCCGCCGTCTGCTCGACAAGGTCTAGAATTCAAAATGATCACTGCTAGTTTCCCAAACCATAGCTCATTTTTGCCTTCCCAATTCCTTTAAAACTACGAGCCAGACAAAACTACCAATTTTTCCGCGGCGCTAAACTCAACGCGCGCGCTCATCTTCCATTGTGTAATGGATTGCGAAAAATAGCGCGTACATGGCGTAACCTTGCCGGTCCCTTTAAACGCTCCATAGCTACCGTACCATGTCTCATATGCAGTACTCTATCGATGAGTTCTTCAGTGGTGGCCCTTTTATGGAAATCGAGTACGAGACGATCCTCTTCACGTTCAGGGTTGAAGACAAACAGGTACACTGTGACGGCATGAGCCTAAAAAGGGGTAAAAAAGCTTGCAGTACTTGGCGTTATGGTCTTTTTAAAGGGATAGTTCCAGGCGAGGGAGCGAGGGAGAGGGCGCGACAGAGATAGAGAGAGAGAGAGAGAGGGAGAGAGTGAGAGCTCAATCTCCCTACCTGAAAGCATGGCGGAACATCATCAGGACTCGTCAACGTATGTGCCCTTCTCGGGAATATTCCTTGTGCTCCCAGAGCACCAGAGGCTATATCGATACTGTCGAGACTCATTCTTCTTCCCTTTCTTTCACAATGAGCACCATAACCTGGAAAATACCTTTTTAAAGGGACCGTAAAGTGTTAATATCAACCCCCTTCAGCGACAATGTCTCGACATGTACGCCACACGCCAAAACACGCATGATATTTTATTCTTGCTGAAAAATACGCCCAAAAAGACATAGAAATGTAGTTAAAATTTATGCTTTTGACTTTGGTGTGGCTGTCGAGACCTAGTCAGCCTAGGCGTCGATTCAAGCGCTTTAAAGGGCCCGGCAAGTGAATCAGCAGATAAAAATAAGAGCTAAGGAATGATGAGAGAACACTGACGCATAATGACCGATGAAAAAGTTGGTAATAAATCCCTCTTGAGGGGGAGTCCCAGATGTTTTGAGCGCCAGACGGTGCTCAATATCTATTTGTCATATTTCGCATAGTTTTCAGGCTAAAAATAAAGAATTGGAAAGGATAGGAGCCGGCTGTGGACAGATTTAAGGGCTAGCAGGCTTTAATGTTAAAATATATAAATTTTGCTACTTTAAAAATATCAAAAAAATTTGGTGTGGACAGGTTTACGGGATCTAAGTTTGTACGTACCCGTTTTAAAGGGGCTGGGAAGGCATTCATCTGGCTTTAGCCCACCTTAAATGGATCGAGAAGCCAGCATGACGCTATGGAGTAAACGAAATATCAAGAAGGGGATCTTATAGACCATTTTAAAGGGCTTGGGAAGGCATGGATCTGCCCATAGACGACGTTAAAGGAATGAGGAAGCCAAAAACTGCCCATAGATTATTTTGAAGGGATCGGGAAGACAAGGTTCTGCCCATAGATAGATTACTTTAAAATGATCGAGAAAGAAATAATCGTCTATAGGTCACTTTAAAGGGATTGAGAAGTCACAAAATTCGCGAAAAATTCATTTAAAGGTGTCTGGAAGTCAGGGTTTGGCTATAGACGATCTTAAAGGACGCCGAAAGGCAAATTCGGCTTCAGGATTTTCCAGAAAAGCGGAATCAAGAAAGGACAATCGAAAAATCACGTGGTGGTGTCACGCGCACGCAGCTGATGTCTTAGAGCAGCCACCACCCATCAAAAATCCATAGCTCGGTCTTGCCGGTTTCTTTAATGATCCGTATTTTGCAGGACCGGCACAAAAAACGGGGATGTTTAGCCGGAAAGCGGATCCATAAATATTACTACGGGGGGGGAAGAAGCCGGAGGGATCGGGAAAGAGGAGAAACAGGCGTGATAGGGGAGGAGAAGCACCCACACACCACACTGGCACAGATCTTTTGGACCAACGACAGGGAGAAGGGCCCAACAAACACACGCATTCACGTAGAGAGAGAGAGAGAGAGAGAGAGAGAGAGAGTGAGAGGGAGAGGGAGTGACGGTGGATATCTGCTGTGCCTCTGCCTGCCGCGGCGGGAAACAAATGATCAAGCCGAGGCAGTTTGAGGGCCCTTCCCGGCTTCTTCCCCTCAATTCTCGGCCACACACAAATCGATCACAAACAATATCCCCCTCACCCACCCAATCCCCCCACTGTCAATCTAACGCCCAATGGAATTCAATCCCCACATACACCGTGACCGTCTGTGGTTTTAAAGGGGCTGCGAAGGGTGGGATGGCTATGTAAAAGCTGAAAATTGTGGGTGAAACGGGGAATAATAGCTATCTCTCGATCTCCCGCTCTCTCTCTCTCTCTCTCTCGATCTCCCGCTCTCTCTCCCTCACTCTTTCTCGCACTCTATCTCTCTCTCTCTCTCTCTATCTCTCTCTCGCACTCGATCTATATTTCTCTCACTCTCTCTCTCTCATTCTCGCTCTCTCACTTTCGCTCTCTCCGTCGCGATCTCTCCCATCTGCAGCTCTCTCGCTCATTCTTTCTATCCCTCTCTCTCAGATCTCTAGCCCCAGTCATCCTCTCTTTAAAACCAGAAAAACCGAGCGGGTGGCAAGCAGCGACCATTTGCGCATCTTCTAAGCCTTTCTCTTTGGGCTTTTTCGGTCCTAAATGTCAAAATACAGTAAAGTCCTTTGCATTTTGCCAACACAACCCCAAAATTTTATTTAATACACAGAAAATCACAGGCCATAAAAAATCATAGAAAAATGTTAGTAGATGGTGAGACTGGCCTCATAAATGGCCTGAATATTGTCATGATGAGGGCATCGAGGGGAGACGGCTATGTTCGGGACGCTGTGGATCGCAGCCTCCGTCAATCGCTCACAATCCGACACGTCGAAGCCGAGCGCCGTCAAGCCGTTTGGTGTCTGAAAATGAATACAATAAATAGTCTGCTTCAAAGAGCAAAAAGTTGTTCTGGCCGGGACTTGAACCCTCGACCCTGGGCTTGGTAACCCGAATCGCTAGCCACTGCACTATGCACGATAGGTTTTCTATAATTTTCGAAATTTTCAGGTTACAATTTAAGCCAAATTCCACACACCTTCTGTTAACTACCATGCGGCCACTCTTACTGTAGCACTGGTAAACCCATAAATTAGCATCCGGTTCGTAGAGGCTATTCCCCAAAGAACCCCGCTAGCCTGCCAAGCCCGACTGATCAATCAAAAATATGATTTTTTTTATTTCTATCAACTTTTTGTTCCACTTGACAACAAAGGGCTATTCAAACCTTTCTTGTGTACCCTGGAGCCGTGCGGAATAAAATCGCGTAAGCAAATAGAGGGGCTGGCTTGGCATCGCTGTTTGATAAAACGCCATGATTTTCCTGGATTTCCCAATGGAAAAACTCTATTTCTTCATAAAATATTGTTAGATTAATTTAATAACTATTATTTTTCTCTCCGACATAAATTCCATGTTTTTTATAATTTTCGGCTTATAAACAATTTTATTATTATTTTAGGTGGGCTTTGCTCCTATATTCGCCCCGGAAAATGGAAGGAGCGGGTAGATTTTTGTAAATAATAATATATTTGCGGTATAAAAAAAACAAAAGTTTGCTATTTAGCGCAATTACAGGCCAATCGACCAGCCGGCCGCCGTCTTTCAGAAGTTCTTTCGATTCGCCACGACCAAGTGGAAATGTGACACCAATTGAGTAAGTGGCGATAAAATTAATCCTTTTAAGCAATAAAAAGGATTATACAAAAACTAATCGAAACTATTCCTAAACTATGATGTAATTGAAATTATTCAGCCCCCAATCCCCGCAAAGGCCACATCAATTCGGTGCATCTTCTCCAAGAAATGCAGGTAGGTGCGAGATAGAGAGAGAGAGAGAGAGAGAGAGAGAAAGAGAGAGAGAGAGTGCACAATCAGCTTAAATTAATTTAGGAAACGATCCATCGCCCGCCCCTCGATTTCAAAGCGCTATCTCATCTCCAGCCAGGCCAGATCCTGGTGAATGGGAGCATTGGCCGACAAGGGATGGTGGGAATTGATTTCCGAAAGAATCTCTGCTAGATTGCCCTTGTCTTCTAAAATTAATTTATTTTAGAGGTCGAAAAGCAGCAAAATGAGAGGCTCCGATTCGCCGAGCAGCAAAATCAGGGACCAGATGGGTAGATCTACCCCAAACAAGTGTATTAAAAAAATAACAATTTTAGGCCGCCGGGGAATCAACCTCCACTTTTCAGCGTCCCGCAACGATTCGATAGTAGACGGTAGGCTAGCAAAGATCATTTAGGAAAAACCTAAAGCCACTAAAAATAACTCGTTAGAGAGGACGACCGGGTACAGCCTCCGCAACGCCTATCGCAAAATGAACATCAACAGCAACAAGTTCAAAACCAGGGGTTTGGCAAAAATCAGAGTTTTTTTAGTTTTTTGTTTAGCTACAACAGACCGTTTCTCCCGGCCTCAGCCCCAGTCTCGGCTAGGACAAGCCAAGAAGAGCAGCTACGGTACGCTCCTATGACGGTTCAAGGGCTGGAGAATAGGCTTCCACAAGAGCCTCAAAAACCGTTGGCTCTTCCACGATTTTTGACGTCTAAAAATTCAGACACCATCACTGCTTTCACACGATGGAAACCTCTGGGGACCCCGACCCGCCTGCTGATGAGGTTCGTTTCCAAGGGGTTAAAGCAGTACAGAGTTTTGGTTCTTGTTCGTTAGCGGGCGAGGGGGTGGTATTTTTGACCACTCCTAGGGCCAAATAATGAAACTTAGACTATTTATGTACATAGCTATTTATCCAGGCCGTATTTAAATATGGAAAATTCCTAAGAAAATCACTAAAATTTGAGAATGTCAGCTTTTGTTCAAAAATTTGTGGATTTTCGAAATTTCTTGCAGCCTTCCAATGGTTTTCAATCTAAATTAAAAGTCAGATCCCCCGCTAACAGTTCAGTACCCGGAATCTGCGTCTAACGGCCGCTATCTCAAAATCCCCATTTTCAGCGCTGGGCCATGTGCCGCCATGATCCTCGCCATTGGTTCCGGTACCACGAGATCGAGAAGCACGAGGAGGGCTGCCCGGCTAGGCCTCGTCATTAATATACCGATACTTACTAAGGTTCCACGAATAAATTGCCTCAATCCTACTATATATAAAAAAATAGTTCATGTGTGTGTGTGGACACTTTGCATAAATGGCTCAAAAAAACCGGGTTACCAAGATATCGGGAAGGGGGATCAATTTTAGGGCCCAGTCGAAAGGTATTTAGGGGTAGTCGAGGGCGTAGATTACTGCAAGTTTATCAGATTTTTAATAAAATGACGATTTATACCTTCGTTTAGCAATTTTAAAACATATGGAAATATTCTCCTTTGCATACGAGGCGCTAGGAGGCGCATTTCGAATTTTGTCGCGCTACCGGCCGGTTGCTTTTACCGTTTTTGGGTTCGCTCTCGCTCTTTGCTCGAATTATGCAAAGTGCCCAACTTTGAGAATTCATTGCGCGAAGGCCAGGGGTGAAAAGCCGCGTCGCGGCTTTTCAACCCTGGTTACCTTTAAAATCGTAATATTAAAACTATAAACATGCCTTAAAATCGCGCGCGAAACCACGAATCTCGTCGGCGAGAATCTTGCCGATCGTCTCGGGCTTGGCGCTGATCTGAAAAGAAGGATTTTACAAGAAAATATCTATTTCTATGGACTTTCCAGTCACTTTGAAATTGAAAAAACCAACCGGAATTTCGGCTCCTAGCGCAATGGCGGCTTGGCGATGGCGATCTGGGCAGGCATGGGCCGTGAATTCAAAATCGGCAGCCGCGGTTGTAACAACGGAAAGGCCTAGAAAATAAAAAATTAAATTAACCTGTTAAACTATAACATTAAATTAAATCAACCTATTTAAAAATAATTAACCTTTAATTAACTATTAAAATGCTTAATATCCTTAAGTTTTTGATATAATTTATTTATTTTAATCAAAGGAGCAGCAGAGGTAGGTTAAATTAAAATCCACTACAATTTATAAACAATTCCTTTTAATCATGCAAACGTTAAGTTTAAAAACTACCGTGTGGAATTAGTGGGGAATTTTTCGGGTAATCCGGATCGGTGTAGCGCTTTCCCTGAGAGCTGAAAATACAATAATTATCATTATTTTAAATTACACAACCTGATAGGATAACTGAGGCCGTGCGCAATATGAACACCGGCATTTCCGAAACCAATTCCGGCAAATGAGGCGGCGAGCATCATCTGGAAAAAGTTAAACTAGCTGAAAAATACAATGCAAACCTGTGTGCGCGCCTCCTCGTCGCTTGGGTCAAAAACGGAGCGGCGGAAGTATTTCGAGATTATCTAAATAGGCTTAAATATAATTAAAGTAACAAACTGACCTGCAAAGCGTGTAAGCTCCAGACATCGCTGACCGGGTTCGATCCCTGGTACAGCGGGCGCTCGGCGGGAGAACGAGGCCGGGGAACACGCTGAAGAATTCGATCGATTTAAAAGTGCAAAAATACGCACACAAAAAACTCATAAATATACCACATAATATAGACAAAAATACCTCATTGTATGGTAATGCTGTGTAGCTCTCAAGTGCATGGCAAAGCACATCAAATCCCGAGTATACGGCCACGTATTTTGGCATTGACATCACCTAAAATAGTTTAAATAAAATTTTGTTCCGCTCACGTTTAACGGGTCCACAAGAGCTAACAGAGGCTTAATACAACGCAGTCTGATCCCGCTTTTGCATCCGTGTTCTGGGAAATCCATGATTGCCGCGCCTAAAAAGAAAAATAAAATTTTTCCGCGGAAAAGCCTTAGCAAACCTGTCGTCTCACTTCCGGTTCCCGCTGAGGTCGGCACGGCAATTAATGGAAGCATCGGACGCTCGGGAATCTGGGAACGACCTGAAAAAAATAAGTTTTGGAGCTTGAATATACCAAAAGGCGGGCCAACGAAGTCCAGAAAATCGGCTTCCGGATTTGAGGCGTAGAGGGCTGCTACCTAAGAAAGCAAAGTAAAACAACAAAAACCCGTACCTTGGCCGTGTCCATCACCGACCCGCCGCCAACAGCCACAAATGCATCAAAGCCGTTCGTCTTCGCAAAATGGATGGCTTTTTGCATACCCAAACAAATTTATAAAATCGATTTGACGTGAAAAATCCTACTGGCATCCGACGGTTCCACTTTCACATCGTCAAAAACGGTGAACGGTATCTCGTGGCGCTTCAGAGACTGATGAACTTGTCTAAAAAGAGAGCTCGTCAGTCCAACTCTATTTCACTTACTCGAAAGCCACCGTATTCGCCACCACCGGATCCGTGACCACCAGGATTTTCCGGGCTTTGAGAGTCTAAAAAAATCAGGTTTCACAAAATTCGGACATACCCGCAGATCATGCCCAATCTCCTGCGTCACACCGCGGCCAAAACGCAGCGTCGAGAAGATCATTTCAAAGGCATAGTCACTGTCCACTGAAATATTAATTTTTTTGGGAAAAAGAGGTAGCATCTAACAAAGAAAATTCACTACATTCTCTAGACCAGCACTCACCAGCGCGGTTTCCGAGCTTCGCGACACGGATGGGCGTCTGCTGGCCACCGGCATGCGCTGGGCAACATGGGCGCGATGAGCCGATTCGAGCCAATAATCCGCGCGCAGCCGCCGCCGCCGCGCTCATCGCGTTATGCCTAAAATGTATTAGTTGTGGAAAACTCCTATACTATATTCTTTATTCGAAAAGGACGCCTGAATTTTAAAAGGATGAAGAACAATACCCAAAATCAATTCAGCCAATAAATTTATTAAAAAAGAACAATGCAACACCAACTTTTCCAAAAATGCAATATAGTCTTTCGCGTACAGGCAATGAAAAGGTCACGGCCATTCCGCGGGGGTCAGCTGTGTTCGACAAAAACAAAGAGAGAGATCGATCGATTCCGCAAGATCGATTCCCGAGGCGCTGATAGGCCCACTATAACCAGCCGGATAGCCAGCAAAATTATAATACCAAAAGTTTATTCACCGCAATAATACACATTTTAAATCGAAACACAACAGTACAAATATCTCTCGAGGGGGGAAGCGGGTGTGTGTTTATGCAGAAACACAGACGAGAACACGAGTATCTAGAGTCGGAATGGAACAGGGTTATCACAAATGGGACTTTCTAAAAAAAAGAGGGCTAGGGAGGTCAAGTTTGCTTTCACGAGGGACGATGGTGCATCGGGCGGTGTGCTGAAGGAGAGGTTGGTTGGAGAGTTTAGATTTTAAACTAATCGTGGATTTTAGAGGTCCTGGACTGTTAGCGGGGGAGGGGGCAATCATGAAATTAGAACATGTTTGTGGCATTTTACGCCGTTTGAAGTGCAAGTGCATTAAAAGCGTTTTAAAATCTTTGACCTTAGGCCAAAATTCACGGTTTTTCAGAGAACAGGACACTTTTTGGCATCGAAAAACTACGAAAAACGAAAAAATCCACCACAAAAACCCTAAAAAAAAATCCATAAACCGGCCAAATAGCCCCTCCCCCGATAACAGTCCAGTACCGTTTTAGACGGCTTACCGTAGCCCTGGACGTAAGCGGCTTGGCATCCATCAGATTTTCGGGTGGGTTCCGATGAGCGAGTGGTGCTTGTCTGGGCTGTGGTCGAGGTGCTTGGAGGCTAAAAAAGGAAGAATATTTTCATGAAACACAAAAATACGTCATAAATAATGGGGCGGGCGGGGCGTTGGTTGTGACGTTCGGCGGATCTCATCTGAGGGTTCGTCCAAAATGGTGTGTCCCGTGTGTACATCGGCTCTAGAAGAAAATAGAACTCTCAGAGTCCCTCATCCAAAATTACCAGTAATCCTCATGCTCCTAAATTCGGGGCTTCGCTGCGAAGAGAAGAGGCGCGACTCCTCTTGGCTCATCTCTTCGGTGAATGTTCGGGTTTCGATGTCATCGCCGCGGTCGATACGAGGAGCACGCTTCCCGGATCCGCGTTCCATCACCGTTGCCTCATCTGAATGGAAAAAGGTTTTCGTCGGCTTTTCGAAAATGCATACCTGGATCACAGCTAACTTCCGAAAGCGAGCCGCGTCTGTTTTGCTTCTAAAATGTGAACACAATAGAACAAGTACGCCTAGTGACATGACCAGATCAGCAAGTATTTTAGCCCTTCTGGGCGTTTAGCTGTTTTTAAAGTGAAAAAACATTTTCGAAACAGAAAAGCGTTGGACATTTATGAATTGGATTGGAAATTGTCCCCTTCTCCGCGAAAAATCTATATTTTTAATCAAAATTTGTAATTTTACGCTTAGGAATAGTAAAGGACTGGTAAAAAAAATTCGATGAGAGATAAAAGTTCGATAAAATTCAATTTATAAACTTACCGCTATCCTTGGAGATGGAGAAATGCTGGGAGGAATGTCGGACGAGACATACTCCGCCGAATCCGTTATCGGCGAATCGAGGGGCGGCCCTAACTCGGAGGGCCCTTCCGTTTCATAAGCCTAAAATTACGGGAATGTGTGCGTTGACGACCGCATACGCTTGAGTGGAAGTTGGAGTTATTGCTGTAGCACTTCCTGCAGCCGGGCGGGCACGGGTACTTTGACATGTGGTATACTGTGGCGGCCACCACCTTCGGGTCGGTGTCGGGCTCCTGAAAACACGATTATGATGCGGAAAATAGCGTCATTTTTCTCGACGCCTTAAACCTAGCATAAAAAATGTGAGAGGCTAATTTAGATAGAAAAAAAGTAAGAGACAAAAAGAAAATTCAAAATCACCTTTTCACGCTCAGCCCTGGGCGCTGTTTTGGAGCTGTCCGGTGTGCAACGCATCGACACAGCCACCTCCCCAGTCGCCAAATCCTTCGTCATCCTCCCCCGGTGAAATTGGCCGCGAAGTTGTAGTTGAGCGTGTTCGACTGGCCCTCTTCAACGCCTTCTTCATCTTCTTCTTCCGCCGTTTTAGTTCCTTCTTCTTTCGATGAGCCTCCATCCTCCGAATGCCGTGGTTTGTCCGCTGGCGCATCTCTTCCTCCTCGCGAAACTTCTTCTCCAGTTGCTCCTCGCGCTGCGCGGACCGCCGAGTGTAGTACTAAAAAAAGGTTGCCGTACAATCGAAAGTTTTTGTTTTGCAATGATCGTCAAAATCGACCCTTTCATAGGGGTTTTCTCGCAGCCCGTTATAGCACGGCCGTTTTTGTAAGCTGATACATGTTCGGTATTTCAACCTCTATCGAATGAGCTATATATCACAACGTCAAACCTTGTCTCGTCCAAAAAACAAGCGTTGTCACACAAACCTACCACGCTGAGACAGACGTTGAGGCCGATGCAAAAGCCACACGCGGCAATCATCAGCAAAAGCACGACAATCAGCATCCATAGCCCCTGCCAAGACGGCACGCAGCAACCTAAAACATAATAAAAGCATTGATACACCCAAAACTCGTACCGTAGTCGAAAAAGGTGAGCGAGGCCTGCTGGGTGGGCGCTTCGCCCGACCCATCCGGAGCGAGCTCCTCTGCCATCGAGCGAGCGCGGGGGAACTCGAGCCTGCCGCCGGGGCCAAATCGTGCGAAATGAACTCTTTTTACTTTTTCATTCTTTGATAATATCCAAATTAAGGTTACAGCTCTTTTCTCCGAGCCGTGTATGTAAATTTGACCACAGCGTTGCGCGAATTAATTTTTTTCATTTGTATCAAAAGCTTGTGTAAATTTTGTTTCGCAAAATCAATGAAAATCGAATAAGAAAAACATAATCAATTACCCCAGGTTAATCGATTCCGCTTAAATACAACATGACGAGTACCGTCATTTGGCCTGTTCGTTTTTCTTTTCAGACATTTTGGGATTCCCTATAGAAATTTTTCTTTTCTTACTTTGGTTCAACATTTTCTATGGATTTCTTCATTATTTAGAAGTTTTTGTTATGTATCTATTGAACTCTTTTATTTATCTAACTTTAGTGGGCATGCCAGCCATCACCACTGAGTCACCGATGGACACCAACGACAGCGAGCCCGCGATGGTCCTCAAGGTCAACGATGTCAATTGGTAATTTCTCCACCACTTTCCTTTCAATGTTTTCTTTTTAGGCAAATTGAACAATTGCACAAGTGCCAAATAATCCCCGAGAGTGCAGTAAAAGCGTTGTGTACCAAGGTGAAGGAAATTTTGGTGCAAGAAGGCAATGTCCAGATCGTCGAGCCGCCCGTAACGGTATAACTTTTTCTTTTTCTTGTTTACCTACCTGAATCTAGATTTGCGGCGATATCCACGGGCAATTTTATGATCTGCTAGAACTGTTCAAGGTCGTTTTTCCTTTTTCACTGATTTATCTTGCTTTCAGGTTGGCGGCTCTATCCCGGATGCGAACTACCTGTTCCTCGGGGACTATGTTGACCGGGGCTTTTGGTCTGTGGAAACGCTACTTCTCCTCCTGGCGTACAAGGTTAGGGGAATATATGTGGGTCAAACTTTTGTTCAGGTACGTTACCCGGACAGAATAACCTTGATACGCGGAAATCACGAGAGCCGACAAATCACGCAAGTCTACGGGTTCTACGAGGAATGTATGCGGAAATACGGAAACCCTTGCGTATGGCGGATGTGCAACGACGTGTTCGACTGCATGTCGCTGGCGGCTGTGATAGAAAATAAGGTTGGCCGGGCCAGGGAAATTTTAGATTTTGTTTTAGGTGCTCAACGTCCATGGCGGTCTCTCGCCATCGATTATGACCCTTGATCAGATCCGAGAATTGCCGCGTCAGCAAGAAGTTCCACATGAAGGTAACAAATCCGTTGATGAAAAGCTCTTATCTTAGGCCCTATGTGCGATTTGCTATGGTCGGATCCTGATGACTCCATCCAAGAATGGTCGATGAGCCCCCGTGGCGCCGGATATCTCTTTGGCCCCACCGCTACCGACGAGTTCTTCCATACGAACGGCATCGAGTTGATGTGCCGCGCTCATCAGCTCGTTATGGAGGGCTTCAAGTACCATTTCAACGAACGTGTCGTCACGATCTGGTCGGCACCAAACTATTGCTCTCGCTGCGCCAACGTCGCCTCAATTCTACATCTCGACGAGGATTGCAACAAGGAATTTGCTGTGTTTGAAGCCGCAGCTCAGGTACCGTTTCGGTGTTGCTTCGTTAGCGGCGAGGACCTAATTTACCCCTTCTCGCTAAATCCTTTATAATGAAAGGGTATTTCAAACTTTGGTGCCTTTTTAGAGCTAGATTTTTAATTTTGACGTTTGGAACAGATTTTGAGGGTTTTGGAGTCTTTTAACCAGGTTTTGATTGCGTTTTGGTTACCGGAAAGTACGACAAAACACTAAAAAGATGGTGTTTATTTTTTATGAAGGTTTTGCTGAATAAAGCCCCCCCCCCCCGCCCCCGATAACGAAGCAGGACCATCGCTTCTTTGTATATCAACCTCTTTCAGAGCTCGAATGGTCACATCCCTCGAAAGATGGCACCAGACTACTTCCTCTAAAGACAACAGACGGCCACGCCATTCGACGAGCATCGGGTACCATCGATCTTCATTTTCTCATACCGGTCCCAACCTTCTAGATTCCGATATTTTCGAATTTCTCCTAGCTCTGAACGTGACTTGGCCGTAAGTGGGATTTCTTGTTGCTGCCTCCACTTACATCTACTTCTACTATCTTAGGTCATATGCGTTTTGTGTCGGATTTCCTGTGTTACGCGCCATCAATTTGTTTTCGCGCTCCCTTTTCTATCTTCCGTAAAATGGCATAAATAAATCTCTGCATGGGTCATGGTCGTATGGGTATGGGGGATACGAGTAAACTGTTCCTGGTATCAGGCTGACCAGTAGATGATGCGTGATCGCCAGTCACAGGTGCTGGGGTGGATACGTGGTGTGAAATGGGAGAAATCTTTTTCGCTTGTTTAGCAAATGGTCGAGTTGAGAAATGACTCGCGTGGGGCTCCCAAGGCCGGGCTTTATACAGCCCAGCTATCCCCATTTAGGCGCCGGAAAATATATCAATGTTCCACCTGGGCGACCGAACTCTCCCATTTGTTTGGTCTGGAAAGTCTAGTTTTGATCGATTTCAATTTTAATTTTTGGTTGTTTCTATGCTTTCCGAGTCAGCAAGATGTTTAGAATGCGTGGGCCCGTGTGGGCCCTGGGGCTTCTGCTTTTGGGGAACGGCGTTAGCGCAGAACCCGGCATGCGCCAGCGCGCCGAGTCCGGCGGCGAGGATCGTTTGCGAGCAGTTGCACAAATGGGACAAGACAGCCAGGGTTAGTATTTTTTGATAGCCTCTTACAAATTTTATACGAGTTATAGTTGTAGCCGGCAATATAGGAAATTCTTACACTTTTCAGGCTAATTCTGCCCAAAAGAAAACGGTAGCATTGCCGCCTTCCGTTGCTCCAGCAGCTGGTAAGCTAGCGGCTTTCAGTTTTCACTAAGCATTCTTTAGCTGGAGGCCCAGCGGGCGGCGGCTTTGCCCCGGATTTGGCGCCGCTAGCGACAAGCCTCGAGTCATGCGTGGAAATGAGCTGCGTATGCCAATTCCTGGCCGGTGTCCGAAGCAACGCCTGTTATTACAATGGAAAAAGGGTCGGCCGGGTATGTCTCACCGATTTTCTAAGTTCACGTGCGAGTTAGCTATTCCGCAAAGAGTACCGGATGATGACGGACGCGGAACGGCAGCGCTTCCACGGCGCCATTCTGCAGCTGAAGCGCTCCGGAAAGTACGATCAAATAGGTTGGTTTATTACCTTTTTTGATGTATTTTTCGGTTAGCTCGTCAACACGCCTCTATGGGCCAATCCGGCGGTGCGCATTCTGGCCCGGCATTCCTGGCCTGGCATCGAGAATTTATCAAACGGTATTCGGTCTTTATAATTGTTTATAGTTTTTTAGATACGAGTTTGAGCTTCGAAGAATAGATCCAGATATCTACATTCCTTATTGGGATTCGACGCTCGAGTCTCGGCTGCCACGACCGCAAGACAGTTGTCTGTTTAGGTAGCGTTTTGAAAGATAAAATTATGGTTATCGCTTCGTTATTGGATTGTATTGCTTTTCAAATGTAAAAAAGTTGAAAAGACATTTTTAGCTCTGAGCTGATGGGCACGGGATCGGGCAGTGTCACCTCTGGGCCGTTTGCTAACTGGAGAACGATCGAGGTTTCTATGCAATTGATTGATTGATTACTTTTCTATTTTAGGGCCCCGTACTTCGACGGGCCGCTGGAGGCGCTGGAAATCCGTTTACGGTATAAAATTTCAATAATTTACCAGGGTTGAAAAGCCGCTCCGCGACTTTTCAACCCTGGCCCCGTCTCGGACCCATACTATTCTGCCCTTTGCATAAGTGTCCTCCATTTAGAAGACAAAAAAAAACTAAACACAACCCTTTCTGCCTCTTTATATAGGCGACGGCCCACTTCCGGTCTATGCTAATTATTCCTAACAAAGAAGTTCTTACAAAAACCTAAATTTAATAGCGAAAATGGCTGATTTTTAAAAATCTGATATGTGTGCAGTGATCCCTAGACCATTGCGCACCTAATGACGTATCATACGTAGCCCAATACCCGTCCCTTATTGAGATATCCTCCGGACAGACAGACGGAAGTGGATGCAAAGTGGCACACACACACACACACACAAACACTATTTTTTTATATATAGTAGGATTTTACAAATGTTCGGCTAGACAACCACGGAATGAAGAGGGCTTCACGGTGTTGACCAGCTCTTTTCTAGCACAACATCAATTTCAGGACGCCGACATCAACCCCGTGATGGAACCAGCGGACCATCGATCAGGTGCTGTGCTTCACGGCCGGGCAAGCCGGATGCCCAATTCGAACGGATTTCAACTGTCTAGAGTATACACACGGAAATGTGCATCTATGGGTCGGAGGTGGGTCCATTGAAAGGGAAACTTTATCGAAACGGGTTCTTCTTTACGGGGACTATTTTCCCCCAGGAATTCCGTACGGGCCTGTAACGAAATATAAGCCATTTTTATAGCATTCTGCACAATTTTTAAGATATAAGAGCAGATATTGATTATAAAAGTTAAAAAACTAAATTTAAACCTTAAAAAATTTGACTTTTGGTTAAAAGACGAAAGGAAAAAGGATAAAGAAAAAAGTAAAGCTTCGATTTTTTTGAATTTTTTATGGCGTTTTAGCAATCAAAAACTACTAAGAATATTATAAAAATACACAATATCTGATGAACGCTCAGATTTTTAGGAGAAATGTTCGACCAGATGACGTCTGCAAATGACCCGCTATTCTACTTGCACCACTCGTTTGTCGATTATATCTGGGAGGCATGGCGTCAATCTAGACAGGTGGGACATTTAGAAGCAGGCCAAAAACTGTGGATGCTAATTCTAGACGCGCGCACAGCGTGAACAAGACTTCCCGGCCGACAACCAGCTCTGCTCCAGCCCGCAACATTTGAGCCGGTCGGATGGCACCGTTCAACCCTTACAGGTTGATCATCTCTAGCGCGTTCATCCTAGAATCCTGTAGGAAACGTCGACGGACTGTCAAACAAATACACCGACGAGCTCTACACGTACGCCCCGCGCCCGACCTGTTCTCCGGCAAACCCGAGCTGCGGAAGCCGGTAGGCTTCCGGAAACCGCAAGAACTTTCTTTTTTAGTTTCCTATTTTGTGACTTCTCGCATGGGGCGGCGCGTTGTGTCTCGAAGGTCAGGGTTGGAGGCAGTGTAAGTTGGAAAGCAGGGGAAGCAGAAAACCTATTTAGTGCCAAGGATTTGTGCGCGGCGAGGATTCGTGTTACAACGGCGTCTGCCAGGGAAGCGTCTGCAGGCCGGGGGTGGGTTGTATAATTCGGGGATTATTGCATGTAACTAGAACCCAGAAAAATACGAAAATTGGGCAATTTAGAGCGTAATTAAACACTCCAACAAGCCCCAAATACGCGTATTTCAGGCCGTTCGACCGATCACCGTTGCCCCTTCCGTCACCGTACGCCCGCCAGTTAACGCCCCGAGAGCGGTATTTTAATATGATCTATACTATCTTTTTTGCCTTTGCTTCTTTATCCTCTTTTCTAGTACCAAACCGTTCTAGGCGGACTGCTGGAACGAGAACCAATGCTGCCAAACGTGGGCCGCCCAGGGCGAATGCACACGAAATCGGGGCTACATGCAAGACTTTTGCAAGGCCTCCTGCAACATTTGTACCCCGAATCCGCCGATTCGTGATGGTACGTGCAGCTTTAAAACTAAAAAATAGAGAAATTAAAAGATGTAAATAACGACCTGGTTTTCAGACTGCTCCGACCGGCACCCGTCGTGTGGCTCCTTTGGGCGGCCACCGGCGAGTGCACCAAGAATCCAGATTGGATGACCGAGGTGGGGAAATAGAGAAAACGAAAAATGCTACCAAAACGTCAAAAAAATTTTTTGGCACTGGATTGTTTGCGGGGGAGTAGGGGGCCGTTTTAACCATAGAAAACTCATCAAACGTTTAGGAATGGCAATGTACTTTTAAAGGTTCTAGGGGCTTCTACAGGTTTTTTTACAAATAAAAAACCTATAAAGAGATACCTCTGCAATTTCACAGAACTGCCGGCGCAGCTGTAACCGCTGCACGCGGACCCGAGCCCAGACTTGCTCTCGCGCCAGCCAAAGTAGGGTAGGCATCTCGTTCAGCTGCTCCAATAAAGGCCAGAAGACCCCGGCCCCGAGGAAGCAACAATGCGAGAACCCACCCGGGTGCTCAACTCAACGAGTTCGCCTGTTGCCCGCTTTGGGCCATCCAGGTGAGCACAAAAATCCAGAAGAAAATCGCTTTCTCCTGGGAACATGTCATTTTTATCTTTCGCGGAACTTGTATAGAATTTTACGCTGATCCAGTAGCTACTGCCAGACTAGACGTAATAGGCATATTTCATAAGTGTAAAGTCATTTTAGAGCGAAGGCCCACATCGAGGCTCTAGTCTGTGACAAACATGCGTTGTAGCTTTTGAAATAGGCCAAATCCCGAAAATTCGAAAGCCAGCTTCGGGATCAGCGCAAGATTCTGCACAAGGCTTGATTGGTTTCATGACCCAAAACAAATATTAGCAAATGAAAACTGCAATTTTCAGGGCCAATGCCGAACCAACTCACAGTTTACTGACGTGCCAATTGAGCATTCCAGGAAATGTGTTTCCTTCGGATTATCCATATGGAGGCGAAGTACAATAAGGAAACAAAAAAGGGCATAACGTCCTGTTGCTAGAAAAACGGCCTAAAATTTTTTATTCTGGAGTCCAGGCGACCGAAAAAGAACAGTAACGAAGA